TTATGTGTCCAGTGGTAAGGAGCCTATTAAGAAAGCATAAAAAAGAATGTACAAGTGTTAATAATTGATTTATCAAAAAATTTTATTTCCTTTTACTTCGGGACTTTTTTATTCTCATGTTCATAACTAAACCTAAGTTTACATAAAAAAAAAATGCTGGCCTTATAATGAAGAAAGGGTCTTCTTTCAAAATAGATAATTTTAGGGCTGCTGGGTCAGGGGTACCAAGGGGGTACTTTGACTAAAAATAAATTAATGCTTTGAAATCTGCCCTTTGATAAGCAATGGTGCCTCTTTCAAAATTCGTGAATTTCATGGCTTTTGCCTTAAAACACTACCCAAAAACAATCGCTGAAAAATGTTACATGATACTCAGGTGACCTATAAGGCCCGTGTGCCTCTTGTTCATTTTAAACCCTATTCGTATTTATACTGAAATTTATTTACCTTTTGGGCACAATTGAACCTCTATTTCCTGACATCTATAATTATGTAATACTCCAAGAGGTGTATCTAATGGTGTCTCGGTTTTATCGGCCTAGATCCTGTTGATTTGGACATCCAAATCACCAATGATTCTTTCTAAGGCAGTCCCAATTGTTTCGTGCCCGTATCCTTTGACAAACATTTGTCGACATGAGTTTTAATGACAGAATGATTTTTTCCAATGGTTTCTCAATAGAGGAGACTAGAGGAGAAGATATAGCGAGGATCTGCCATGACATTATGGGGCGAGAAACAGTTAATGCTGGTGACTTGAAAGAATACCAACTACATGTATCTACAGTACAGGATGAATGTACACTATGTGATGAAATATTTAGATTTTTAATTTGTAATCTTTAGACTACACTAATTCCAGTAAAGGAAAACATCGAAGAAGGATATTGAAATAACGAACAGTATTTAAAAGAAATTAGTAACAAGTAAACGTAAGTTAATACATTTTTAGGTCACCTGAGTTAACTCAGGGGACCTATTGCTATCACTTTTCGTCGGTTGTCGTTCGTTTACATTTGAACATTTTCAGCTCCTTCTCTGAAACAACTAAACCAATTTTAACCAAATTTGGCATATATCATCTATGGGTAAAGTGGAACACAAATTGTGAATTTCATGGGCCCTGCCCCCCTGGGGAGTGGGGCAAAACCACTAAAATTAATGCAATCTCTAAAAATTTTCTTCTTTACTCCTGGACATCAAGCAGTCAAACTTTTTGCATGATTGTAATCAGCATTGAGTCCTCTACCAAAATTGTGAAATTCATGGCCCTGGGGTTCTAGTGTTAGAGTGGGGCTAAATAAGTATATAGTGAAATTTCATGAATTCTTTGAAAATCTTCTTCTCTGCTCCTGGGTGTCAAATAAACTAACTAAGTGCATAGGTATGATGAGCAAGAGTGCCTCAACCAAAATTGTGAATTTAATGTCCCAAGGGTCAGGGGTTCTGGTGTTAGGGTGGGGCTCTATAAATTATATAGTTGTCGTGTTCACATGTAAGCAGCCATTTTTAAACCGGAAACAACTATATTTTATTTTTTAGAACCAAACATGATAATATAATAATAATAATAATAATACTTTATTTTAAGAGGGTGACCCGATTAGTGCAATGCACTAGTCTTCCTCGGGGCCCTCTAAGCATGTTCACAATAATACAATAATGAAATCATTGTACAATAATAAATAATACAACATGACGTAAAAATACAAGTACATATAGATTTCAGGAGATTTTAGTTGCGGCATGTTATTATGAATTTTTCTACATTTTTACGAAATGTGTGTAAATTCTGTGAAAAACGTATGTACAAAGGTAGTTTGTTCCATAAATGAACACCGGAATAGTGAAAAGAATTTTTAAATTGATTTGTTCGATATTTCGGTAGATGAAGGTCATAGTTTGTTTCAGATCGTAGAGCATAACTACTAGAAGAAATAAATTCAAAAGAGTCTCTTAAATAAGTAGGTGCCATACCATGAAGTGTTTTGTACAGTAATATATATTTATGAAAATCAATCAACTCGTAAATAGTCAGCCATCCAAGTTTTTCGAATAATGGTAGTGAAGGGGCATCATAAGCCACATCTAGTATAATACGGGCTGCCCTTTTTTGCAATTTAAAAACTCTATCTATGCCAGCACCTGGCGCATTACCCCAAATAGTTAGGCAATAATTCAAAGAGGGCAGAATGTATGCATTATAGAATAGTTTTCTTGTGTGTAAGGGGAGGAATTTTTTAATTTTGCGCAACGTATATAATTTATATGTCAAAGATTTACAAACTGAGTCAATATGGTGATTATAGCGCAATGAACCATCAATATGCACTCCCAGAAGTTTTTCAGATTCAACATTTTCAATTAATTTGTTTGAAGCATATAAATTTAGTTCAGGTGAAACTATTCTTGATTTTCTCTGCTGAGTTCCCATAAGCATACATTTTGTCTTATTGGTATTTAACACCATTTGATTTTTGGAACACCAATTTTCAATCTCACACAAATCAAAGTTAAGGGCATTCTCAATACCTTCTATATTTTTATGATATGTATGCAAGGTTGCATCATCGGCAAACATATCAATATCTGTTCTATTTACATGTAAAGGGAGATCATTTATATACAATAAAAATAATAGGGGACCTAAGATAGAACCTTGGGGCACTCCTGCTGTGACGGGCAAAAAATCAGAGGAATATGTTCCTATTTTTACACACTGAGACCTTGAGGTTAAATAAGAATGAAACCATTTAATAGCCCTTTGATCAAAGTGATATGATTGAAGTTTACTTATAAGAATTTCATGATTAACCAAATCAAATGCCTTGCTAAAATCGATGAAAGTTATGCCTACTAGATTTCCTTGGTCCATAGCTTGTAGCCAATTATCTGTAAGTTTTGTAAGAGTCGTTTGACATGAATGAAATTCTCGAAATCCAGATTGTGATTTAAATAAAAGATCAAAGTTAGAGGCAAAGTTACGTATTTGATTTGCTATGTGTTTTTCAACTAATTTTGATAATGTTGGAAGAATGGATATCGGTCTGTAGTTCCCTGGATCTGCGTGGTCGCCATTTTTGAAAATAGGAGTGACTTTTGCTTGTTTTAAACTGGATGGAAATACTCCATTAGTGATACTAGCATTTATAAGATGTGTAACAGATTTGCATATGACATTTGCCGAAAGTTTTAGAAGACGAGGTCCGATAAAGTCTATACCGGCTGACTTATTTACATCAAGTGTATTCAACATATTCAATACTTCAAATTCAGTTATTTCATTAATACTGAAAACATTTTCTTTCCCTAGTTTAGTTTCTGTATACCGATTTAATAATTCTGAATCAAAACTTTGTACTGACATACCTGCTAATAATTTACAGGATATTTCCGTAAAGTGTTTGTTAAAAATATCAACAATATCCTGTAAATCTTCAAAATCTAAACCATTTTGTGTAATACGGATAGGTGTAAAAGTTTTGGATTTAGATGCCAAATGGTTTAAATAACTCCACATTTCTTTAGGACTTGAGCTTTCTTCAATTGCAGATTTGTAATACTTTGATTTTGCTTGATCTATTAATTGTGTAACTTTATTTCTCCAAATTTTGTAATTTTCTGAATTCCTTTGTAAATGATATGTATCGCGTAAATGTCTGGCATCATTTATTTCCTGTGTTAGCCATTTAGGTCGAATTTCAGTCTTGACTCTTTTTGTTTTTACTTTGGCATGCCTGTTAAGAATATCATTAAACAATTCATAAAATTTATTCGTTATTTCGTTTGGGTCTTTAAGTTTAAGAAGGTTGTTAAAATTTGCATTTTCTAACTCTCTCAAGAAATCGTTTTCGTTGAATTGTTTAAAATCTCGATATTGGATTTCAGTATGTTTTCCTCTACGCTGTATACAATTAGTTTTCCGTGTCAAACATACAGGGTAGTGGTCAGAAATAGCAATAGGGGGCACATTTGTTTCACATATGTTTTCTGGTTTAGTTGTATAAAAATGATCAATTAAGGTACTTGAGGTACTTGTTATTCTAGTAGGAACAGTAACTATCTGAGAAAGTCCAAACTCCTCTAAAGCAGATGTCCAATATTGTGGGGGGTCTTTCATTAGATCAATATTAAAATCACCTGATAGAATAATTTCAGTATCGTCACAGCAGGAGGCACGGTTCACCTCCTTTGCTAGGTCCTCCGCCCAGCAGGAGGGGGCAGATGGTGGACGATAAGCAGAGCAATAAAATATAGGTTTAGAATTTTTTAGATTAATTTCTAGCCAGATTGTCTCAATATTACTGATCTCAAAATCAGTTCTACGTTTATATGTGATATCACTTGTGATATAAATCAGAACATACAAATCCGGAATATAAAATGTCAATTAGTAAATTATAGATACATGACATCCTCCCTTTTTTAAATCAATAAGCACATTAATTAACAATTAATCAGTTTCAAAGCAATCATTAAACAGTCAATGAATATTGAAATTGAAATCATGTAAAGACTGAACTGAACTTTTAAGTTTACAAAATCTTTGAATGGTATTAAACTTATATACATGTACATGCATGATATTTTACATGAAACTACATTTAAACTGGTTGCATAACATAGTCTGCTAATTTGGATGGAACTTTCACAGTACGTCCTGATCTGGTTTTTATGGTTTCGTCAGGAGTTTGTTTTGAGCGCTCGGGAGACTCTGAAGACGGCTTTAGCGGAACGTGTTCTTCAGCACTACTCTCTGGAATCTGGAAATCGAAATCCTCACTGACTTCCTGTGTGGGTTTTACGGAATTTGTCTTTTTCAGCATACCGCGGTTTCGACGATACTTTTTCCCATCACACGATACGATAAAGGATTTTGGTAGTGGTAGTTTGGATTCCACGGTTGCGTGTCTCCATGTTTTGCCATCTTGTAGCATAACGTTATCTCCTGTGTCCAAATTCGGAAGACTCTTTGTCCCTGTGCGATCATAAAATTTCTTCTACTGCAACTGTCTGGCTTGTAGTTTCTTCTGCATGTTGTTGTCCTTAGGACGAAGTAGATCTGCTGCAATAGGTAAGTTTGTTTTCAGACGACGTCCCAGAAACATCTGTGAAGGTAACTGTCCTAGTCCTTGGATTTCTGTGTTGCGATAATCCATCAACGCTTTGTAAGGGTCTGTGTTTTTCTTGAGAAGCCGCTTAACTGTCTGCACCATTCTCTCTGCCTGTCCATTAGATTTAGGATACACTGGACTAGATGTTGTGTGTGTAAATCCATACTCTTTGGTAAAATCTTTGAACTCCTTGCTCGCATACTGAGGACCATTGTCTGATACTAACTCATCAGGAATCCCGTACTTGGAATACATGCTTTTAAGCGAGTTGATGACTTGTAGTGATGAAAGGTCTTTTAAGATGATTATCTCTGGCCATTTCGAGTAGTAATCTACAGTGAGTAGGTAATGGTTCTGCTTGTATACGAAAATGTCAGATGCTATCTTGGACCATGGACGATCTGGTAACTCTGTACACGTCTTTGGTTCCTTTGGATTGGAATTCTGAACTTCAGCACAAGTTATACACTGGGATACTTTATCCTCTATTTGCGCTGCCATGCCCGGCCAATACATAGACTCCCGTGCTCTACTCTTACACTTCACGATACCAAGATGAGATTCATGAACCAAGTCTAACATTTTCTGCTGCATCGATTTTGGAATGATAAGTTTACTGCCTTTGAACAGTAGTCCATCCACATGTGATATTTCATCACGAAATGTCCAGTATGGAAGAAGGTTTGATGGTAAGCTCTGTTTGCTGTTTGGCCATCCTAACAGTACTGTATCGAGTAGCTGTTGTAATGTTTGATCCTGAGAAATTTCTTGTTGAAATTCCTTGTAACGATCAGGCGACATCGGTAAGTGTCTGTTGAGAGTGATGTTGTTGACATCAACTTCAGGTATCAACTCTTCTCCAGTTTCATCAAGATAGTGTTGACTCAAAGCATCAGCAACAAACATAAGTTTGCCAGGTTTGTACTCAATCTTTAAGTCGTATTTCTGAAAGGCTAGAAGTAGTCTTTGTAAACGCAAAGGTGCTGCTAAGAGCGGTTTCTGAAAAATAGACTGTAATGGTTTATGGTCGGACTCCACAGTTACTGATCTACCATAGATGTACTGATGAAACTTTTGACATCCGAAGACAACTGCTAATGCCTCTTTCTCTATCTGCGCGTAATTTCTTTGAGACGCTGTTAGTGCTCTTGACGCATATGCAATGGGTCTACCTCGTTGTAAGATGGTTGCCCCAAGTCCTCTTGAACTTGCATCCACTGAGAGTGTTAGCGGTAGTCCTGGGTTGTAGTATGCTAAGATCGGTGCTTTGGTAATCATAGCCTTGATTGTCTCAAAACTGATATCTTGTTACTTTGTCCAATTCCATTCACAGCCTGAAGAAGTTTCAGTCAATTTGCGTAGTGATGCACTTACATCTGAAAGTCTTGGAAGAAACTTTCCTAAGTACTGAACAAGTCCTAAAAAAGTAAGTAGTTCTTGTCGATTTTCTGGTTTCTGCATCATCACAATAGCTCTCACTTTTTCTGGTTTCTGCATCATCACAATAGCTCTCACTTTTTCTGGATCAGGTTTCACTCCATTTTGGGTGAGTACTTGTCCTACGTATTTCACTTCAGTTTTACGCACTTCACATTTCTGCCTACTGAGCTTTAAGTGATACTATGCTGTCCAAAAGTCGTGAACACACTGACAGCTAGTTTACATAATTTATTCTCTAGGAATAAACCGTAAATGCTACAATGACAAAAAGAAACAATACAATGTAGCACATGCAAATAGGCCAGGGAGTACAAAAAACAAAGTTATAACTTACGCGAAAACAAAAACATTCAAATGCATAAAATTCAATTTATCGTAAATATAGAAAGAAATGCACTATTTATCACTTTTATAAAGATAAAAATGAAATTACAAATATACATACACTGTGGGGCTGTAGAAACACCAACGTTACAAGTTGTACATATTGTAGACATGAAAAGCTCGTGGAGCGGAAATAGTAAGTAGTACATAAAACCAAACCAAATACGTAAAAAATTTCCGGAACGGAATCCGGAACGGAACACTCCCTGCCTAATATTGATATTATCATAACAATATTACTATAAAAAACATATCAAATTCAACAAAAATATTCTGATCAAACATTGGCATACAAATATAAGAAAATTTGGTGCAACGACCAGGATTCTAAATATAATATATCAAGATGAAATCAATAAATTTTAACAGTTAATTATCACTTCAAAACTGATTGATAAACTGATGTACACTGTTAATCAATTAGACGAACAAGTTCACTGATCGGTCGCGTATATGTACACGGCTTCCCATTAATGATATCACGAACAGATGCCTTCCGTACGAGTCCATCTGCACTAGGAAAGACTTCTTCCACAAGTCCAGTAGCCCACTGACACCTAGCTGATTCACGGTCCTTGACGACCACTACGTCTCCAACCTTCATGTTCGTTCTTTCAGATCTCCACTTACGACGGGATTGTAAGTTCTGAAGGTAATGGGTTTTCCACTGTTGCCAGAATAAATCGGATAGGACTTGCACTTGCTTTCACTGTTCCTTGTATATGTCACGTATGTCAACATCCATACACATGGAAAAGTGACCGGATATCTTCTGATTCAGAAGCATGGCTGGACTCAACACAAATGGTACCTCAGGATCGTTAGATATAGTAGTAATCGGTCTGGAGTTAATTATGGCTGTCACTTCCGCCATCAAAGTACTAAGTACCTCGTGAGTGAGATTTTTTCCTTTTGGTCCTAAGAGTAGTGAATCCAATACTCGACGCGTTAATCCAATCATTCGCTCCCACACTCCTCCCATGTGGGAAGAGTGGGGAGCATTGAATGTCCACACAATCTTTGACTTATCAAGGAAGTTCTTCACTGGTCCCTTCGTTACATCAATCCCAAGATCTTCTGTAGCACCAATAAAGTTAGTACCTCTGTCTGATCGAAATAAAGACACATTCCCACGAAGTGCGATAAATCTACGTAATGCATTGATGAAAGACGAGCTGGACATTGACTCTACTAACTCAATATGGATTGCTGTCGTCGTCAAACATGTAAACATGATGGCCCAACGTTTACTTTCAGCTTGTCCTCCACGTGTTTTACGTGTGACGATGGTCCAGGGTCCGAATGTATCTACTCCCACTGCACTGAATGGAGGTCCTGGAGTAATCCTGTCCGGTGGTAAATCGGCCATCCTCTGACTTTCAAACTTCCCTCGTAATCTTCTGCATGTAACACACTTATGAATCACTGATGAAATTAGTTTCTTTACACCAATAATCCAGTAGCCTTTGTTTCTAATTGCACCTTCTGTGATGTGTCTGCCCTGATGAGCTGATTTCTCATGAAAATGCTGTACAATTAATTTTGCCACATGAGATTTCTTAGGAATAATGATCGGATTCTTCAGTTCCTCAGAAAGTACGCTAAGATTCAATCTTCCGCCAACCTTCATAATGCCATCTTCACTCAGGTAAGGACACAATTTTAGCACAGAACTGTCTCGTTGTAGAGGTTTCTTATGCTGTAAACAATAAATATCATCCAAGAAAAAGGTTTTCTGAGTTTCTTTGATGATGACTAATTCACTGTCTCGTCTAACTGTAACAGGGTCTGTCACAATCTGCTTTCTCTTTCTGATGAAAGTCTTAAGCACCGTAAGTGCACTCACTAAAGAGTTCCAGCTGGAAACATTTTCAAAAATCTTGGTAAGATTAAAGTCCTTTATCACTGTCCTTTTAGCACTGACACGAATTTCGTTGTCCTGTTCTGGGTTAATGAGGGGAAAAGTCTCATTGATGGTTGCCGTGTTGAGATGAAGGAATTCTGGTCCTCTCAACCACTCCTGGTACAAATTTTGAGCTGCGTTCAATCCCCGCGTTCCTAGATCTGCTGGGTTCTCTGTTGATTTCACATAATTCCACTGCGAGGGATTGGATGTTCGTAGAATGCGCTCAACACGATTGGCTACATAATTGTAGAAACGTCTCGTTTGGTTGTTAATGTAGCCAAGTACAATCATACTGTCTGAATAAAATTTTGTGGTTGTAAATTTGACATTCAGATGCATGTTGAGAATTTCTGCTACATCTACTGCTAGTAAGGCCGCACAGAGTTCAAGTCGTGGCATGGTATGTCCATGAAGTGGCGCTAATTTCGCTTTGCCGAAGACAAAAGTTACTTCTATTCCCATCTCAGTAGAAAGTCTCAAGTAGGAAACTGCTGAGACAGCCTGTTCCGAAGCATCGCAAAACACATGTAGCTCAACTGTCTCACTCTGGCTCAAAGATTTGGTAAAATACATGCGAGGGACAGTCACTTGCTGTAGCGATGTAAAAGAATCCTTCCATAATTCCCAACGATAAACATATGAGGGGTCGATCTCATCATCCCAGTCATACAGTGCTGTTATTTCTCGAAGAATTATCTTCCCTTGGATCACAAGAGGTCCAGTGAAACCTAAAGGGTCGTATATGCTGTGAAGCATGGACAAGTAACCACGTCTCGTGTTAGGTTTCTTGCATGAAACACAAAACTGTCAGTAGATAAATCCCATGACAAACCTAAGCTCTGACGTATAGGTAGCGAATCTTTCTCTAAGTCTAACAGTTTTATTTCTTTGCTTAGGTCTTCCTTGGAGAAAGCTGACATCACATCTTTGTGGTTTGATGCAATTTTGTGTAACTTAATATTGCCGTTGTTCTTAAGTACAGTCTGAGTTCTTTTCAACAAATCGACTGCTTGTGAAGCAGTTGGTAAAGACGTTAAAGCATCGTCTACATAAAAGTCATTCTTCACAAATTCTATGATGTCTTCATCAGAATTTCTGGTGCTCTTGTGTAAGCCAAATGTTGCTACAGATGGCGACGGAGAGTTCCCAAACACGTGGGCACACATGCGATATTCTATAAGTTCCTTGTTAGGATCATTATCTCTATACCACAGAAATCGCAAGTAGTCCCTGTGGTCGACGTTGACGAGAAATGAGTAGAACATCTGTTCAATATCTGCTGATACTGCCACAGCGTCTTTCCTGAATCGAAGGAGAACACCCACTAAATTGTTTGTCAAATTAGGTCCTGTGAGGAGAACACTGTTAAGAGACACTCCTTGGAATGTTGCAGAAGAGTCAAAGACTCCACGTATCTGATCCTTTTTCTTAGGGTGGTATACTCCGAACAATGGAAGATACCACACCTCTTGTCCATCCTTTAACTCTGGGGCTATCTCTGCTGCACCGCTATGTATGACTTTGTCCATGAATGTAACAAAGTGTTGACATTTTTTCTCGTTCTTCTTCAAGCTTGAATCAAGAATCATTGCTCGCTTTAATGCCATTGGTTTGTTGTTTGGTAAGGGGGGTCAGTCCTTACGAAATGGAAGGGGCGCCGTCCAATTTCTACAGGCACTAATTTTCATTTCCTTTTCCATAAGATTAAGGAATTCGCGATCCTCCACAGAATGACCAATAATATTATCGTCATGTCTTCTCTTGAAAATATCCATGTCTTGACCTGAATCTCTTTCCAATATTTTCAACTCCTTGTCACATGGTTGGAAGATCGTAGATCGTCCGCTAGGTAATACAGAAGTTTTAAAACTTGTTATGGTTATATCTGACGAAATGTCTAACATAGGTAAGTGTTTTCCATCCAAGCACACATTTCCAATTATGACCCATCCAAAGCATGTTTTCTGTGCAAACGGATTGTCTTTGGGTCCAAAAATTTGTTGAAAAACATGGTGCGCTTCTGTCAAATCGCGTCCTATCAAAAGTCCAATGTGATGTTTTGGATCATATTTAGGAATTTCTGACGAGATGCCACGAAGATGTGGATACTGCTCCGCAATCTCAGGGGTAGGTATCTCAGACACGTCTTGTGGAATACTTCTGCACTCAATGAGGGTAGGTAATCTCAGTGATGTTGTTGAATCTAGAGACTCCACTATGAAACCATAGGCTTGGCGACCAAGGGCGTGTTCCTTTCCTGAACATGAAGACAAATTATACATAAGTTCATTTCCTTGTACACTCAAGGTATCCATTAGTGCACTTGATGCCAGTGTGCGATTGCAATGTTCGTCGATCATTGCGTACACTGTCGCAGATGTTTCCGGATGTTCTTCTGAGTACACTCGTACTAAGACATTTTTTGCACAGGAGCGTCCATTGAATTCATTACATACTGTTGTACATTTTGAATCCACTTTAATGAAACCAGTCTCCCCGCCGTGGGCTGTTTGGGAGCAGCTGTCCTGAAGTTTCCTCTTGTAAGTAACATGCATAGCAGTAACATGATTGTTACTTTCACATTCTTTACATTTGATTTTTTCTGTACATTGTCTCTTTGTGTGACAGTTAGTTCTTAAGCACTTGAAACAAAGTTTGTTTTCTAACACATATCTACGGCGTTCCTCCATTGGCTTCCTCATGAAGAGTTGACATTCATCAAGGAAATGCGAGATAGCATTGGGGTGCAAAGGACATGATCCTTTGTTAGGTTTTTCATTACTTCCTGTGTGAACATCCGTTTTCTTTGATACGATGGTAGTCGGTTTCTTGGTGAGTTTTGGCTTATCCTTTCCTGCGAATGGAGCTGAAGTATCAAACACAAAGCTCGGATCATTCAAGGAAACACTGAGTTCATGAATAAATTTCACTAATTCCTTGAAAGGTGGAAATGGAATGTTATGTTTTATTTTAAATTTCACAGCTCTGTCACGCCATTTGTTTTGTAGGTTTTCTGGTAGCTTAGACACAATAGGATTGATGCCGACTCGTGTATCGTAATAAGACAACAGTAGTGAATACTGAGGATTGTTCTTGTTACACTCTATTTCCCCCAAGAGGTCGACGAGGTTGTATAACAACGTTTTGTCCTTTGGTATCTGTAAGACTGGAAATTTTTTGAGTTCACTTTGTAGCTTTGAGTCGATCAGTTCAGGTGATCCATATCGTTCATCTAACCTTTGCCAGATCCTGTTAAGTGCAGCACCAGTATCACTAGGATTTGCTCTTCTAATTCTCGTAGCTTGGACTGTTGAGTCAGGTCCTAACCATCTTAAGAGGAAGTCTATCTCTTCGAGGGGACTCAGCGTGGCTTCTGACACAATGCTCTTGAAGCTTCCTTTCCAGAGATTATAAGATGAAGGATCATCATCATATTTTCTAAGTCTTTGTGAGATCAAGTCTTTCTTCATCATATAACTGTTCATGACATTAACGGTAGCACTAGTAGTTGAAGGAATGACAGTTGATGGCACAGATGAAAACTGTTGAGGTTGAATGTTACTGTGTGAACGTATATTCCCAGATTCCAAACTAGGCTGCGATACCACAAGTTGTGCACTAGAGGGCGTTGGTTGTGTGTTCATCGGTTGCGATACCACAGGTTGTGCACTAGGGGGTGTTGGCTGTGTGTACATAGGATGCGATACCACAGGTTGTGCACTAGGGGGAGTTGGCTGTGTGTACATTGGATGCGTTGGTCGCGGAGTGTATGCCGAGAACATAGGATACATAGGCCGAGGAGTCTGAGGAGCGTACATGAATGGCATAGGTTGCGGTGGGTATGTCGGCTGCATAGGATGTCTGGGATAAGCTGCCAGTATGGGTCGCGGTGGATTAACAGCTGGTCGCACTAGCTGTGGATTATACGGTTGTTGTAAAGTTTCTGGAACACATGTTGTTGACATGGAAGGCAGAGTATTATCCAACTGTGGAACAAACTTTTCTGCTTGAGGATTAAGAGGTAAGTTCTTTATAAAAGTTTTAGATTTCTCAAACCCTCCTACTTTCGGTAATCCTAGATCAACGTGACTTCTTTCATCTTCACCCATTTCGAATTTCACTCTTGTTTCTGCGATCTCAACCTCCTCTTGATGTTTAAGTAATTCTAATTGTGTGTCTAAGGATTCCTGCTCTTGTTTCAGTTTTGCAGCATGTAATTGTAGCTTTGATTTCTGACGTTTTAACTCTGCAACCTTCTCTGCATTCTTTAGTTTGGTTTTGGCTTCCTCCACTCTCTGTAACGATTTGATGCAAGCTGAAGACATCCGACCACTTACAGTATTTACCTCCTCTTCCAATGATCTTATGGTCTCACTGAGTTTTGTCAAACACGATTCTGTATCTTGACTAACTAGTCTATAACTGTTGTCTATCAGAATTCTCTCACTATCACTGTAATTGTGTCTGTTCATGTAATCCTGACTTTCCTTATATACATGTGTATAAATTTCAAAGTTTTTCTCAACCTTATACCGGATTGAGGTTAGCACTGTAAGTTCTTTAGAACATAAAGGACTTGTATATTCCTCGATAATTGCTCTTACCCTGTTCTCAATATGAAGAAGTTTGTCTCTATATTTTTTGATATTTTCTTGAAGATGTTGTTGTCCTTTTTGTGTTTGAACCTTTACCCTATCTGACGTTCTTGTCGGTTCTTGGGTCTGTTCACTCTGTTGTTCCCCGGAGGGTAACTGGTCCCCGGAGGGTATCTCTTCTCCGTTTGGTGTTGACATCATGGCTAGTCATTTACTATGCTGTCCAAAAGTCGTGAACACACTGACAGCTAGTATACATAATTTATTCTCTAGGAATAAACCGTAAATGCTACAATGACAAAAAGAAACAACACAATGTAGCACATGCAAATAGGCCAGGGAGTACAAATAACAAAGTTATAACTTACGCGAAAACAAAAACATTCAAATGCATAAAATTCAATTTATCGTAGATATAGAAAGAAATGCACTAATTATCACTTTTATCAAGATAAAAATGAAATTACAAATATACATACACTGTGGGGCTGTAGAAACACCAACGTTACAAGTTGTACATGTTGTAGACATGAAAAGCTCGTGGAGCGGAAATAGTAAGCTGTACATAAAACCAAACCAAATACGTAAAAAATTTCCGGAACGGAACACGTCTTATGTAACGTGCAATTTGATTGGTGCTTCTCAATGAGAGAAGCAAGCCCACAGATTTCGAATGAAATAAGTCAGGGGTCCCACGGCAACCTGTTGACTCAGGACCCCTGACGTTGTGAGGATGTGTTAACTCTTGACGATTATATTGTTTTACTCGTCTCACGACAAAATGTCAAATATTTAAATCCGTATGAATACATTAAGAACGACCTGTCATTTTGCTATTTAATATATATAGAGAAGTCTTACAATGATTTTTATACGCCCGTCTTAAGACGGGACGTATTATATTATAGGCTTCATGTCCGTCCGTCTGTCCATTCGTGTCCGGCTCATAACTTCAATACTATTAGGCCTAGGATTATCAAACTTTGTCAACTGATACTTCTTGGGTAGACGGTGTGTCGCGCACCAAAAGTAGTTCGTTCTGATCTTTAATAAAGATGCTATGGCCAAAAATGGAAAAATCCTGTCCGGCTCATAACTAGAAAACTAATAGACCTAGAGTTATCAAACTTGGCAAAAGTATACATTTTAGGTAGAAGGTGTATCGCGACCTATTTTAAGGTCACTGTGACCTTTAATTTTAGTGAAATTTTTTAAAAATTTAAGTTTTGTAAATTTTAAATTTCATAATCCTAAAAATGTAAAAACTAGAGTTGTATCCTTAATAAAAAGTATTAAATCAAGTAAAAACTTATTTTTTCATCATATACTTTACAGCAATCTTAAACAAATATCAGTGTTTGATGAGAGGAATTCAGTTTGTCCCATCGGCATAATTGGTGGCTAGCTAAGTTTTAAAATGAATTTGATAAAAAGTAATTAAAACTTGTTTGATATTCATTATTGCATAATAAACTAATAATCTGATATTATATAATATTAATTATTTAAAAACTAATTTTATGGGATGGGGTTGAATCAGCATGCCTACTTGGTCATATGAATTAAATATAAAACCTGTCTGGCATTAAATCTAAAAAGAGTATTTTATATGTTTTAAAAGTGTTTTAGGATAAAAAATGCAGATCCATTAATATTTAGGTAGTAATGAGTAGAAAAGCATCCAGTCAAAGATTAATTAATGAGTTCAATGTAGGAAAGCTGTCTGATCAAGCACTGCCTTATCTGTCTTTGGGGATTAGACAAAAGAAGTCTTCTGGTCATAGCAAATGTCACTTGATGGCCAGTCTTTCTTTTCAAAATTAATTTGACATAGATTAAGTTGTTAAGACTAATTTGATATTGTTTATTATGATGGCCGGCAGTTGACAAAGTCTAACACAAACAGTATAGAAATCTGTCAGTTATGTAATATTTGTTTTAATTACGTCTACAGCACAGGGGATGGATAAAGAAATATTTCTTTTAAAAATGGAAAAATCATGGAAATCTTA